TAAAACTCTTTCTTTTTGTTTTTAAAAACCTGCTTTGTTTTATGAAAATAGTCAATCCAGTTTAGTTTGGTCCATTATAAGGGTCCAATAATTGTGTATTTGTATGGGGTTTGAAAAGAGATTTCCAACGATATATTATAAGCCCAATTCCGATGAATAATGAGGAAGTTATGCACATATTCTTAGGTGCACACACATGCACCTAGAAATAGGTGTAACAACAGCACAATATGAACATTAGCTTTTGAGAAAATGAACATTAGCTTTCTTCTCCTCTATTTTTCTCCTTCGTTTTTTATTTTCTCTCTCCTCTGTTTTTTTTTTTTACACTTTTTGATTGATTTTGTTTCTTACAACATGAAAGTAGTTATTAAGTATGAATTTTTTTGTGAACTTCGATTTTGTGCTTTAATTTCGATTGATTAAAGTTCATATGAATCTTTGAATTCACAAATTCCTCTGTTTTTTTTTCTATTTTTCTCGTTTTGTTTTGATTTAACGATTGGATTTGTTCCTTACAATATGGAATTGGTTGTCTATCTGATTTTTTGAATTCATATGAATTGATTTTTTTTAGCTTTGATCAATTTCATATGTGTTTCATCTGATTTTCTGCCTTTTTTTTATCAATGAACTTAATCATGCAAAATATCAACATATGCATAGGTTCTTTAAATATGCGTAAAAAATATGAACATATGCTATTAAGAAAGAGAACATATGCATAAACAGACTTAATGAGAATATTTATGAACAATAAATATTTATTATGAATATTTACATTATGAACATATTAAATATTATTATGAATATAAAGCATTTAATAATGAACATAAAAAAATTGAAGAAATAAAAAATAAATATGATTATGAAACATATGCATCATAAGTATTCAAAATATGAACATATGCATTCAAAATATGAACATATGCATTGGTTCATTTTTAATGCGTATGAACATAATTAAACATTTCAGAAGGTGAACATATACATAAGAAATATGAACATATGGATTTAGAAAGTGAATATATGAATTTCAGAAAGTTTGCGAAAGGATTCAGTATATGAACATAAGAATTCAAAATATGAACATATTCATTTCAAAATGTGAACATAAGGTATCTGTTTGATTTCATTAATTTTTTTGACAATTCCAATAAAAAATTTCAAACAATAGAGTATCGAACAATATTCAAACAAAATTAAGTGATAATCATATAAATTCAAACAAAATTAAGTGAAATTTAAATAAAATTGCCTTTTTTTTTTAGGGAGGATCATTTTGATTTTGCATCTCTTCTCTAATGTCCATTAATGTTTTTGCAGTTTTTTAGTGAGATAAAATAAAATAGAAGAGAGAGAAAGTGAAAAAGAGGAGAGAGAAAATCATATAGAAGAAGAAGAATTTTGAGTTTGGAAGTGACGTTATATTTATTGGGTGTGGGTGAGTGCTTTGGGGGTGGGTGGGTGTATTGCAGTTTTCATGTCTTTTAATTTTAGGGTTTTTCTTAATTGGGTTGTGTGTAATTGGGCTTTTGGGCTGTGTTGTTACACCTATCTAAGGTGCACAAAGGTGCACCTTATATTAATTGGAAGTTATGGACAAAATACTAAACTGGACCCGGTTTGGTTCTAATATGCGGCCCAATGATCTAGAGGAGGGTCTATTATTAATTATCATTCCTAAAGCTATTGGGATTGATTGTAGTCTTCTAGAATCTTCTAGAAGGTTATTTTAAATCCTAATAGGATTAGGATTGATAATTATATTTTATGAGTTTTATATGGAAATACGATTTTACCCTTAACACAGATTTTATGACTCGATTTTATCAAAAAGTAAATTCCACGTTGAAAACCTTCTGCATCGCCAAACGACAGGTTCGTCGCCTTGCGACGAGCCCTGTCGTTGGCGACAGAAGGGTGTTTTATTCCTTTTCGAACTCTGATTCTTTTCTATCAAATCCGGACTATTTTCTTATAAATAGGGTCCTTGGACCTCCGTTTTTTGATAACCAGAATTCTCTAATTCTTCTCTCTCTCTAAGCTAAAGCTTATTCTCTATCTCCCTCTTTCTAGCCTAGCCTTTTACAAACACAATTCCTCATACATTAGCACTAGATACACCTAGCCAAGTTTGAAGTTTTCTTCGCCCTAGACGTGAAAGGTTTGATATTTCTGAGGGTTTGGTCCCAAATATCTATTTCAATTATTTAATTTAATTGTTTGTTTTATATTTTCCTTGAAATTACTAACGTGTGTATTTTGTTATTAGAAAGAGATACGAGACATCGAAGTAAGTGCTTTAATTGTTTAATTGATATTATGATATAGAAATCATGTTTAGATTATTTTATTGATTCCTAGTACCATGTTAGGATGTTTTATTGCATCCTAGTATCATGTTTAGGGTAATAATTAAGTTTCTTATATAAATTATGATGATGCTTCCTATTTTCTTTCCTAATATCATGTTAGGGTTAAAGCTTTGATCTTTATGTTTAGTGACATGCTAGGGTTTGTTATTATCTTGTTAGTATCATGCCTAGGATCTTGCTATTAATATTATGCTTTGACGTGATAATGATTATTTTGATTATGATTATTATTATGTTGCTCGGGTATATTTATTGTTATTGCTTGATCACGCCTTTTATGCATGTTTAAAGGGAATTTGTACTTGTAATCACGCTTAATAAGATAATTAATAATCTTGTTTAGGGTTAATTTGATTATAATTCAAGTGATCGCCAATAATATTTTTATTTGTGCATTAATATTCAACCAACATAGATAAATAGGTTTAGGGTTAACCTATTGATTGCATGTTAGTCAGAAAGCGCACATGAATACGAGAAGAATAAAGTAGAGGCCTATTTTATAGGGTGAGTTCTTTCTCTTTAGATTGGATTTGTACCTTCATCCCCGAACTTCCAGTCTTGGTTCCAGATCTGTTGGAGTTAACGATCTCCTAGATCGGTAAGGGGTGTAACCTTCACCCTGTGAACGGTTTACAAGTTCCTAAACCTTGTAGACGACTCTTTTGCTCTAGCTTCCATCCCTATGGACGCCACCATACTTAAGTGTATGATCACAATGGGGTTCAAGTTTGGGATAATGCTTGAAATAGTCCCTACAACCCACTAGCACTACTTATCTTGTCATATTTCTCAAACTTCAAATCCTTTTGCACAACTTGATCAAAACTTCCATGGTCATGTACATCAACCTTTTGCCCAAGATTTCTCTCAAGACCACCAATGTACCTAGCAATATTATGCTCCGGTGCTTCTTCAATTTCACTCATAATCGAGAGTTTTTCAAACTCCCTAGTATACTCTTCTACCAACATAGCCCCTTGCTTAAGAGAATTCAATTTAAGAAAGGCATCTTGAAAATAATCTCTAGGCACAAAAGCCCTATTCATATGTTTCTTCAATTTCTCCCAAGAAGTGATTTTTGATCTTCCATCTTTCCTCCTACGATTCTTTAAGTTCTCATACCACAAAGAAGCAACGTTTTTCATCATTATAACCCTTATATTCAAACATATTCTCCATACTTCTAACCCAATCAAGAAATTCATAAGGATCAAGATTACCTACAAACTCCGGAAGTTCCACAACTTGATGTCTCGGTCACAGTTGTCCTCATGGTGTCGTTGGTGGTGTTCCCTTCTCCAGTGAGGAGAGTGAGAACCACCTTCTCCACTTGGGCTTCTCCTTCTTCTTCTATGACTTCTTCTATTCTCCAAGACCTCAAGAAGTCTATCAAACTTCCTTTCTAGAGCATCCAATCTAGAGTGCTCATTGTAACTTTCATCATCATCATCATCATCATAATAGTACCTATCATCCATGTTTCTAGATAGAAAGCTTGTATATTTGAGAGAAAATTTCAAATTTTGTGGGAAAAAGATGAGATCTTTTGAGAGGGGGAAGAGAAATTCAAAAGGTAGGATCTTTCTAGGCTAATAACCTAGGCTCTTGATACCAAATTAATATGAAAAAAAACAAAGAAAAGGGGGGAAAATCAAGTAACAACAATTTCAAATCAACAAAACAAGATAAACCTATCTCAACAATCACCAAGATATATGAAATAGGGGGTTCTTAATCAAAACTAACACAAAGTAAAGCTAGGATTAAGGTGTAACCACAAACATTACAAGTAGCAATCATAAAGAAAGCAAATAATCACAAAGATTATGGGAAGAGAGAGAAAATCTCATTGATTTCAAAATTAAGCAAAAGTTCCTCCCCAAAACAAATTTTAGCTCTATTTAAATGCTTTACAAATAACCCTAAAGTTCTTAAATTACATATAAAAGGCCAAGATTAAAAGATGGTAAAAAGAACCACAAAAGAAAGGAAGGTGTTCGCTCAAAACAAAGCATTCGGGAGCGGCCGCTCTAAAGGGTAAGAGAGGGTGCTCCTAAAACTTGGAATTTTAAAAGACACCCATAGGATCAGGCGCTCCTTTGTGAGGAGCAGGCGCACCTCCTGGGGAAGGGGAGCGGCCGCTCCTTGCGACTGCCTGGACAGCTCAACTTCAAACGTTCATAACTTCTTCGTTTCTTGCTCAAATTTGGCATGTAACCTGTCGTTGAAAAGCTCTTGAACTCTACTTTTACCTCCAATGTGAAACACCTAAAAATTTCTTGTAACGAAGGAGATATGGCTGAATGAATTAGATGCATCATACACTGATAAAAAAATTTCTTGGGTAACACACGGAATCCTTGGAGCTTCATTCTAAGAAAACAAAATTTACTCAAGTTTGATGATAGTCAACCTCGAGAGGTGACCACTAAGGATTTTAGCTCGACTACGTGTCACAATTTGTGGCACTTCTTCAACTTCCTTCACCAAGTTCCATGCACCTGCGTTAGATAATGCATACCACTGAACCCTATGTTGGTATTTTTAACTGAGCATAGATTTTATAAGTACTATTGAAATGAAATAATTCCTAATTATTGATAACAGCAGTAAGAATCATTAATAATAGCAAGAGTTAGTCCATACAACTCACTCCATCCAAATAATATACCATCCAACCCTAGGCTGGTATTTGTATTACATACTATCAAAACTATAAATTCAGTACAAGTATAATATGCCAATACTAACAGTACCAAGAAGATCATGTAAAATGACATTAGAACTACAGTTTATCATTCTGATTGAGTCCATTAATCAATTATTATTTATTGAAAAATTAGATTGAGTATTCATATGAGTTCGCATATGCTGTATGGTCGTGTTGGGTACATAGCTAAGGTTGATAATATGGCCACCTTCCCCAAAATGTAGTTGACCTTGGTATATTGGTGAAGTAACCAACTGCCTCACTTTGTTGACTGATATGAACCCCACCAGCAAGGACCCTTCCGTTCAACACTGAAGGCCGACTCCCAATTCCAGCATAATATCCTTGGTTGACCTACAACATATGGTAATTGTTTGTAAGAATCTAATACACCAGTACCACAACTCAAAAGTTACACACTAAAACTATTAATGAATTACACTACATATACCAGACTAATGTTATGTTGTTGGAGGCATAACATATCCCCCCTAAAATTAGAAATGGGATTACGTTGAGTAGGTAACACGTTGGGGAAACAAACCTGCACACAATACTTTTTGTTAAAAATACTGATTAATGAAAATGAACACATGACATAAAAGATACACTGAAATCAGAAAACTTTACTTGTTGTTGGAACTCCGCATGATGTTGCAGCAACTCAGAGGGATGTTGGACAGTCCCATGCTCATATTCTAAATGATTGTCATGCCCCTTGGCCTGCTTCTTCTTACCACTTGTCTTTGGAACTTTGGCCTTGGCCTACTCTGCTGGGGATACAAACCATGTTGCTCGAGGTCTGCCTTTTCTTATTATTACCCCAAGGTCCGGATCTTTTACACACGTAGAACTGGGTGAGTCTAAGGAACCTGCAACGCTTTCTTTATTAATAGAGCTTGGGATTTTGGGAGTTGGAGGCGTAACATGTTTCATTGCCTCCACATCACCACCATCCCCACCAGAACCTTGGCCTGACCCTCACACAGTTCATCGACCTTAATGCTTATTAGCTGAATCAAGTCCATCAAGACTTCAACGGCTTCATCTGAGGCTGAACCACGCAATACAACAGGTTCAAGGGCTAACATCAACTTATCATATCTTCGAACCTCTTCTGTTTTTGACGCATCGTGATACACAACTTTAACGAGAGTGTGTTTCCTACTAATATCCTTTATCCACCTATCAAGTATGTACATGGAAGGGATATCAGTTACGCCACTCATGTCTAAAACCTAAATTATGTGCCTACAAACTATCCCATGACATTCAAAGTGGCAACAGTCATAGTACGCCTCCTTTCTCTCTTTGTTGTATAAAACAGTATAGTCCTTCACCCGACCTTTGAGAGGAGTCTCCTTCCTTTTTTCTTACAATATATCCATACACGGTCTGAGAACACATACTCCTCCTCGTTATGTGACACCGACTTCTTTAATACAAGAGTCACATATGTGACACGATTGCACTAGTTTTGTACTTCTACAAACTTCCATCTGTGTACAACTTCTGAAATTTATGTTCCAACGCAAATTTGATATCAAGGGCCTCACTAAACGTGTACAGTTGGCATCCGCTTCCTTCTCATCGTTTGCTCGGTATTCCATCGCCTTAAAATAATTAGGAGCAAACTCACATAGCCAGGTGTGCTTGTTAATATAATCATCAAAAAAGCTATTTATACTCTCAACCCTTTGAGTTGTCTGCATTCCTGCCCAAAACACACCTTTCACATATGTAGGGATCCACATCTCTCGCTTCTCGTATAGGCCTACCCAATAAATATGGCATTTCAGCAATTAACAAGCCTTTAAGCATCAATAAAACTCCTAATACTTAACATTAACAGGAGGGCCACAACATTAACAGAAACCTGATACTCAACAAGCATATTGCAGCCTATATGGGTATAAGAGCCACATACACATTATATCTTAATGTCAGAGACATGAAAGATATAATATCAAACAAGGAAACATTATTTGTAATATATGGACTCAAGTGAAAGGCCAGAAAATTCAGAAAACATAAGTATTCCCATTTTAGAAAGACTTTTTAAATGTGTACAATGCGTACCACACACATTTCCCATAAATTAGTTTCGTTAAATCTTGTTAAAATTAAGTTCTCCACACATTTTTAAGCATATTCCCATAATTTCCCTTTTGTTCTTTCTAATACAATTCTCTCAAATGGTTCAAGATAATAGAATTTGAATCAAATTTGGAATTTTGGGTAAGAATTCAAAAACTTCAACCCCATGCTAAATCTGCAATACTGTTTATCAACCTAATAAATGGTGTCCAAAACAAAGAAAGGAAGCTTCTTTAGGGTACAATTATGAAGCATAATACTTTTAATTCAAATATTCATCAGTAAACTATTAACTAACAATAAAATTGGGCAACAAATTAGAGTGAAATGTTTTAGATTCAAAGTTGCATGTTGCTGGACAAAAAGGACTAGCAAAAAATAGACGAAGAATACATACTTTAAGTGACAATTTACAATGATTTTTTAATGAGCGAGCTTTAATTGAAGGTAATTATAACTTAATAGTTAACAACTCGGTAAGAACCCAAAGCCTTTAAACAAATCAAAGAGTAAGAACCGAGGGAAAAAAATGACTAAATTTTTTTTTTTTTCATTTACTAAGATAATTTCTCTACATATTATATGCTGAATTTAAAAAAAAAAAAAAACGAATGTTTTTTAACACACAAAATACTCACTTAATTATCAAATACAAAAAGTACAACTTATTTTCGTCAACAAATTGGCATCTCTTCACATATTCTCGCAAAACAAATACAAACACAAAATTGCATCAACCTAGATAGAATTGTTTGAATGTATCATGCAATGACCAGCAAAAAAACTGAAATATTAACAAGCTATTACCTTCCAGCCACTCGTAGCAATCATACTCTTATAGCTTGAATTTATTCACAACTTCCCACCAAGATTCAACAAACTCCTTTGGAGTAATGCTATTGTAAATGACATTGCAATGCCTCGTTAACATCTTCGTAATTAGAAATAGCACCAAGTTTTTTACCGAACTTCTTCATGATGTGCCATAAACACGCCAATGGCATGTTTGTGGCATTGGGAAAACAACTCTTATTGTGTTCCTCATCGCAGGATCCTGACTGTCATGATTGTAGTCGGGGGCTTTCCTCCCATGCAAGAAGCCCAAGTCTTGAATAGCCACTCAAACGTCTCGGCATTCTCATGGGAAACCAAAGCTAGGATTGTCTGGTGATTGACCCCAACGAAGTTCGAAAAAGGGAGCTCATACGGGTTTATCAAGTATGTCGAATCGAAGCAGACAACATCTCCAAAATACTAAAACGCCTTCCTACTCCGGGCATCAACCCACATGATATCTTTCAATCACCCCTTTTCATCAAGGCGATGCATGTGAAAAAAAAATTGTTTATCCGCAGATAAAATACTCCACCATAGCCGCGGCATCACCATTTTTTAACTTCAACCTCCTCTTTCTATTCACCAAATTATAAATATCTTTTTTTTTCGTGAATCCCACATTCTCAACACCATGTCTTTGGCCCGCCAAGTTGTTGAATATATGTCGCATGGTTAGTTTCAATCCTATGCTCCAAATGCTTAGTAATTTTTTCCTTCCTATACATTGCAATGTGTCTTGACAACTCGAGGACTCGCTGTGTGATTGTGCTCATTAACTACTTTCTTGATCTGCCACCCACTTTCATTATTGCCTTGCCCATGCATCATAACTGGCATTTGCATTTTTTACTCTTCTTCTTCACATATGGCTCATCATAAACCACAACCCTCTTTGCATTAACCCTCCTCATGTATGATGTCATTCCATAACATTCACACTTCCAAACATAAGTGCTATATGATCTTGTCTTTCCAGAACCTATACACACAACACCAAACCCCTCTTGCTTCCCGTAACTACGATAATAATTATTTATGTCATCCCAATTACTAAACTCCATTCCTACTTCTGGGGTACTACGGTTGCCTCTACTCATATACTTGAACTCTCTAAGCCTGCTTTATGTAAATCCACACTACATTTGTTCATGGTAATGGTACATTCAGCAGGAGGGTCCTTATTCAAGTCAAAACCACCCTACAAGTCACCACTCAAATCAAAATGTTCACTTTCATCACAACTATCTAAGCTACAACTTACGTATCTGCTCCTGCTCCCCTCCATACCCTGGTTGTGGTTCACAACATTACACTCCTAACCAAACCAAACAAAAAATAAATCAAAACGTAGTCTTCCCTAATCATAATAAAAACAAACCAAGGACAGAACACCACAACAGGATCATCACAAGTTATGAAACAACAGAGAGTAGATATTTCCTCCTATGTAAGTAGTTCATTTACCTTTTACCCATTTATAGTTCACAAGTACTAACTAGTATTTCATGTATGGTTGTTGTTATTACCAGTACGTACCATTAACCATGTAGATGCATGGTATACAAACGTTAACGTTGATAATTTTATCTTCGGTATGATAATGTGTACCAACAACACTTGTATTCATACATGATGGTATGTTCTGAATTGTTTATTGTTGCATAACTAGAAGATAAGTAACTACAAATCAAATACAAATTAATCACATACTGACATTGTTCACGCATACTCAAGAAGAAACAAATGTCACCATAATGTTCATTTTCTCAAACAAATTCGACTCTCAAATTTCAATTCTCAACATTAGGAAACCCATTTCATAAATATGGAACTAAAATATACAGTTCAATTTCTCAAATAATTCTCAAATTCCAATTCTCAACTTCAAGAAACCAATTTAATTTTTTGGGTACAAAATAAAACAAACCAAAATCATAACTTACCTCAATCATCTTACGGTCTTTATACCCCGAATTACCATAATCCATTCCGCTAATCGCACCTACCACCTACAAATCTTCACCAAAACTTCTTCTATTTTCATATCCAAAGCTGCAGCTCAATCAATTACCGGGAATTAATTACTTGCAAAATAAAGGCTTCTCTCAAATTTGGGGCCTTTTCAACACTTTGGAGCTTCAAATTACTGTTTTGTGCATTTCTCTTGCTTTTTTTGAGGGGAGTGCATTTCTCTTGCTTTGAGGTGGGGGAATAGGGGAGGGAACTCCATTAATTATTTCAATAAAATTTAAGAGGGAAAAAATTGGGAAAATTTTGGGAATTTTTTCCCGCCATAGTTTCATTGTGGTTGTTGGTGAAATTTTAGGGAGGGAATATATTTTTTTTTTTGGTGAAGAAATTTTAGGGAGGGAATATGATTGTACAAAGTGGTTGTCCCTTTCTCTTTTTCAGTTATTTTGTTTTATTAAGTCATGTGGAATCTTGTTAGATTTGTATTGATACAACAGTAATATCAAATGTTTATAATTTTTAAATATTGTTAATTAAAGATATAAGCGATTGAAAACATGCATTGACAAGTGTGAAAAGAGAAGTGTTGCAACTATTGAAAAAAAAAAGAGTAAGTAGATTTTAAAAGACATAGAAAAGTGCTAACCTAAACAATTTATATTCATCTGAAGCCATAAGACTGAGTGTACTCCCATCAATCAGAAACTCGATTGAAAACAAAGTGACCCAATATCCTTTGCCGGAAAATCCATTTAAGACATACTCCTGTAATGTCTCCAATGTAACAGTCATTAAGAATATCTGCACATCTCAGTAATGCATTTCAAAAGCGTTCAACAACAGCCAAAGAAATGAAACGTCATGATTCTAATTTCAAAATTGTGACTTAGTATAGTATTGCATTCTACAAAATGAGTTAAAAGAGGAGAAAGTAAACCCAGTGAATAATAAGGTATTTATCAGTGCATGAAAATCAGAGTATTGTAACTTTGTCCGATATGGACCTTTCCTCTTAATATATGCAGCTCTACGTCTCTTTTTCAAAAAAAAAAAAAAAAAAAAAAGGTATTTATCAGTGCATGAAAATCAGATAGAAATCTAAAGAAAAAGGTTACAAGATCCAAGCACTCTCCATCTCGGCTCTAAAGCTTTTTGTGAAACCCTGAGTCACTACACCTCTATGAAGAACAGCCCTGCAATCTCCCAAAGTTGAGAGAACCATTTCCTTCAATCAGGAATCAGGATTGTAATGCAAGAGGCACTGCTGCTGCTTATTTCCTGGATACAAGGAAAAGGAAAAGATAAAACTCAAGGTAATGCTATGCATGCATCAAAGCAAGCTTGTGAAGAAATCAATTCCTTCCACTATTCAAAAATTGAAGTCGACAAACATCACATAAAAGAAACAATACAAGATATAAGCACAAAACTATTTATACTGCAAGAGCCTATTGCAGATAATCTAGCTTTGAGTTGGTGTTGTGCCCAATCTATGTTAGATAGTGCTTATGGATCTATAGATGGTTATTAATGAGAATAAAAGGCTCACTAAAACACAAATTAAAAACACATTTCATACAAACAATGCCATATATACAATATTCAAAAGTCAAAACCAAGAATATATGTTCCCAGGGCCCTCCATGACTTTAACAAAGATTACCACACAAAACAACCAAAATCAGAATAGCCAGAATTCTAAAATTAAATTTTAGAGCCCCCAACCACATCCCTAACAAAGTAACAAGACTAGCTTTCTCAGTAAAGAATCCAGAAAAAAATGCCGAAATATTGCCACAAAATGCATGATGAAAATAAAATTAAAGAAGAGATGACAGACAGCATCATACAAAAGTAACAGAAAA